TTTTTTTTTTTGAGTCACAGTCTCAAACTGTTGCCCTGGGTGGAGTGCTATAGCGTCATAGCTCACAGCTACCTCCAACTCTTGGGTTCAAGGGATCCTCTTGCCTCAGTTTTTCTATTTTTAGTAGAGGTGAGGTCTCACTTTTGCTCAGGCTGGTCTCAAACTTGTGAGCTCAAGCTATCCACCTGTCTTGGCCTCTCAGAGTGCTAGGATTATAGGTGTAAGCCACCATATTTGGCCCATTTCTTTATATTAGACAAAATTTTATCACTGTATGTCTTAAAAGTACAGCTTGAATTTTTAATTTTCAGAAGATCTGAATTTATATACTCTCTAAGACCTTTTATGGTCTTAAAAAAACACATTATATATGTAATGTATATGAGAATCACTTGCCATCTAGAATGATATGATAATAAAATTTAAATGGTAAGAACAAATATCAGAAACTATATTTTAAAAATACAGTTGTAAACTTTCCTCTTCATTTAAATGACTTAATATATTTCCATTAGATACAAAATAATCCTTAAGTGTGCCTAAATATGTAAATAAAATCTGAAAGGACTATTTAAAAACCAAAGCTGAAAGAACCCACACCACATTGGGGAAAACGTTTCACTGTACCATTTTACATTTGTTACCCCCCCCCTTTTTGCAGTTTATTTATTTATTTATTTTTTGGCCAGGGCGGGTCTGAACCTGCCACCTCTGGTATATGGGACTGGCACCCTTATTCCTTGAGCCACAGGCACCGCCCTGTTCCCTTTATTTTAAATTAAAGAAAACTGAAGTTCTATTTTTCAGCATTGAAATTATTTTCTTTACCAGCGGGTCATCAAAAGAGCAAATGCTATGTTCTGTCTGTAGGGGGCTCACAGTATCATTTTCCACCTTCTACAGACTAACAAATCAGAGAATACAGAAATGGTGGTGAACGTCCCTTAATAGTAACTTTGACGTATAAATTAGGGCAGTGTGAGTTAGAAAATTATTTACAAATGCAACATTTTCCAGATTATTCTAAGATCCTTCTTGGGTCACAGGTCGTTCAACATAGTAGCTGAAAGGAAGATCCTATCGCCCCCTGCTCAAACCTACCTATCCTGTCCCACCTGCGTGGCGACTGGAGGCAGGTCCGCACAGTAGCCCACCAAGCCCTGCTGACAGCCCTGGCCACCCCTCCTTCCTTGTCTCTGACCCACTCTGCTCCTCCCACCTCCAGCATCTGCACCAACATTCTCTCCATCTGTTTCTAGCACTCCCCAGGCTTGCCCAAGCTCACTTCCTCACTTCCTGCTTGTCCCCCACAAATGCCATCTTTTCAGAGATGCTTCTCCCTGAGCCCTGTTCTAAAATAACCTCAGTCTGCCATTCAAAGCAACTTGGGTCTTTGTTCTCCGTTTGTTCTGTTGGAACATAAGCTCCATGAGGGAAAAGACCTTATTTGGCACGTTACTCCTATACTGCTACCACCTTAACAGTGTGCGGCACACAGCAGGTACTCAATAAATACTTGTTCCATGAAAAAAACAAAAGTTACAATATTTCAAATTGTGATTAGTAATAAAAGAAAAAAATAACAAGAACCTCCACTCTCACCTTCCACAACAAATGTTGAGTGAAATAATAGCCAACTGTATACATTTCAACTGGCCAGGCAGGAGCTCAATACAACCTCAAGGAATGTTCCCACTGCACACTCCCTGCCCCTAACACAAGACGAACAGGGGAGTAGAGCGGTCAAAAGCAAGAACTCTGGGGCAAGATGCTTACCTGTAAACCCTGGCCACCAAGTTATTTGACTCTCTGCTCCTCATTTGTAGAGTGGGGATAGTAAGAATGCCCACCCAGTAGGGCTCTGTGATGACAAAATGAGGTAATACATGAAAGGAGCTTAGAACAGTACCCAGAACTTGAGATTTCATCACAAATGCTAACCAATTATTATTATTACTATTCTCATCTCTGTTCTGTATTCCATCTCAAAAAAATAAAAAACAAAGCCAAAACCAAGTGAGCTATTAATAAATAAAAGTCATACTATCCTCTGGAACTAATCCCCTTGGAGTGGGAAGATACTTCTTCTTGGTCACCTTTCACCTTGGAGGAATCAAACCAAAGCATGAAATTCATCTTGATGGTCAGCAACTAAGAAAATAATCATTTTTAAAAGGAGAGGTTGATAAACCTTTCTATACAACATAAGATTCATTTTGAGTATCAATGGAGAACAGTAAGAAGTTTCATTTTTCACTTGAATTTTATAATAATAGTTCTCTATTCATAACTTTTTAAAAATTCTAGCCTAATTTTTTTATGAAAATATTTCCCTCTTTCTGCTCATGAATTTTTAAGAGGAAAGAAAAAGTACAAAACTCAAGATTTGAAAATAAAAGGGCTGACTTCACCAATGTGTCCTCATCCAAGCAGGGAAAGATTTTGTTTTAAACTACATTTAGCTATAAAATTGAAGCCAAGACGCAGGATGATTATGACTGCCAGCGGCATCCCCTGCCCTCGCACAGGCAGACATGAAAGGCAGACATCCAGTCAACACCAATGAACTAGAACAGGTGAGGCAAAGGGAAAAGATGGGCACCGGACAAAGGAAACATCCACGGAAACAGAGGGTCACTGCTGGCCACGGCTGGCCTGGAGCATCACCAGGGTCCCCAGGCTCTCTGTGCCTCATCCCAGCACCCAGCCTGCTGCTCCCTCCAGCCGGAATGAGATAATAACGCTTAGCTGGGCTGCTGCTCACATCTCACGGCGCCCCAGGTAAACAGGTCTGTTCACAGATGTCCCCTCGACCTCTACCCACCCCATACTCCAAAATAAGCCGTCATTCCTAGATTCCTCAGCTCTATCTTACCCAGCCTTAGAGGTTCCATGACGTCACCTCATCTAGGGTACCTCCCCAGACCACGACAGCCACAGAAAATTACTACCGTCCCCCCCCCATCCCTGGATTCAAAAAATGAACGTGCTCAGCTGGTGTCTGAAACTCCACTTATCCCATGCTGGGCTCCTCAACTGGGCCACAGCAGCTCTTCCTCCTAACTTCAAGCTTTTTCTTATGCCACCACCATCCAAGTTCAGAATACCAGCTAACTAGGTCTCCCGAAGTCCCCACAATAACTCATTGGTTTGGAACTGTATTTATTTCTTTATAAATACTATCGAGACTACCAGGCACCAGGGACTATTCTTGGCAGCAGGAATACA